TTTAGCCTAAGCCAGCATCTGTCTGAAATAAGTAACAAAAAAAAAATAATAATAAAATAAAACTCTTTTCTTGGCATGTCATACTTTTCAAGTTAGCACATCCACCATTATCTGTCTTCAAAATATAGGTTAATCATAGGATAGCTACCTACAGAGATAGATGTGACTCAAAAGACTGCATCACCAATGGGCCCAGCACTGTGGCGTAGAGGGTTAAAGCCCAACCCTGCAGTGCCGGCATCTGTTATGGGCACTGAGTCTCAGCTGCTCCACTTCTGATCCAGCTCCCTACTAATGCTCCTGGGAAAGCAGCAGAGAGATGGTCCAAGTCTTGAGCCCCTGCACTCACGTGAGAGACCCAGAAGAAGCTCCTGGCTTCAGAAAGGCTCAGCTTCGGGTGCTGCAGCCATTTGGAGAGTGAACCACTGGATGGAAGGCCTCTCTTTCTCTGTCTCTACCTCTCTCTGTAACACTTTCAAATAAATAAAATAAAAACTTAAAAAAAAAAAAAGATTGCATCACCAACATTCCTTTACATACTCTACACGAATGATTACTATCAGAGCTAGAAGAACTACCATTCTTTCATCTTGCTTCAGCACTGCCAGACAAATCTGAACGCTAAATACTAAGTTTTTAACAAAAAGAAAAGAACGTATATAGACAAGTATGTAACGATGGTCATCTTACAAACAGCTAAAGAATATTCTGAGAAAGGCAGATGGATTCTTACCACTGGGCCATCATCTCAGATTTAGACCAACTGAAGAATAAAAATGTCAACAGAGAATGTAGTCAAAGAGTTTCCTTTAAAACTAGTTTTTGGTCAAATAAAATAATGAAAAGCTTTCTGTGGCAGAATCTCTAAAGAAAAATAAGAAATTACAGTGAAATTCACTGCTAAGTATTAGAAATGATCTGGGGCAGGCGCTGTGCTGCAGCGGGTTAAGCTGTCACTTGCAATGCCAACATCCCATATCAGAGAGCTGGTTCAAAGACCAGCTGCTCGGCTTAATTCTAGCACCTTGCTTAACGTGCCTGGGAAGGCAGAAGCAGCAGCCCAAGTATCTTGGTCCCTGACATCCATGTAAGAGATCAGGATGAGTTCCTGGCTCTTGGCTTTGGCCTAACCCAGCCCTAGCTATTGCAGCCATTTGGGGAGTGAATCAGGGGATGGATGGTATCTATCTCTTTCTCTCTCAATCTCTTTCATATACATAAATAAAATCTTAACAACAACAACAACAAATGATCTGTGGCAGTATAATGCTGACTAGATAGCAAGAGGAAAGAGAAAAGAAAGTGGGGTTTGGTCAATGCCAGAGCCAACTCTATACAAAGAGACAAGAGCATTACTCAAGATTTAGCCAGCTCAACTGGACTCTCAAGCTTTGGCCTGGGCTCTACACTACAGCCCCATTCAGCTGTATTTAATGACAGAAAATCATGCAATGGATGTTCTGGCAGACTGCTTATTCACCCAGCTCTGCCAGTTGGGGTTCTAGTGGTGTGGTCAGTCAGGATATTCTGTCATGTACATGGCTAAGAAGCCCTACACCAGGTGATCTGAGCCCTTCCTTTTACCCCAGCAATTAGTAGGGAACATGCACTCCTCTACAGGGGAAGTTCTAAAAAAGCCTATGTGGAATGAAGCCGGGAGTGAATTAAATGCACTTGCTGTAGATCTGGAAGAAGACAATGGACTGCCACTGGAATGAAAGCACTAAGAAGCCAGCAACCACCATGTCTCCCGCACACACTGCAAGAGAAGCTTGAAGAACAAATGAGCAAGGCAAGTGAGCAGAGTCTGAACTACACTGGAATAATTTTTGAGGTTGGCAATTTAAAAACGACTTATGTCAAGACTGACACTAAAATGTGGGTTCATTTGAAAATTAAAGAAAAATGGTTACAAATTCTTGAACATGTAAAGATACACATTTTCAACTCTAAAGAGAGATTACAAAACCCTGAAAGACAAAGATAGGGGTCTGGTTCTTCCATTCAAAGAAAACGAATGTGGATTAAAAATATCACTTTAGGGGCAGGTGTTTAGCCTAGTGGTTAAGAAGCCCATGGCCCACACTACTCTGACACACTAGATCCCCAGTTCCAGCTCCTGACCCAGCTTCCTGCCAACTCAGATCCTGGGAGGCAGCAGGTAGTTGTGTCCCTGGATTGAATTCCAGGATCCTCGCTTTGTCCTGACTCTCTCCTGGCTATTGGATTTCACTCTGTCTCTGTTTCTTGGCCTTCTAAATAAATGAAAATAAGTAAAAAAAAAAACTTAAAAACATTCATCAAATAGATGAGTGAATAATTCCTAAGATATAAAAACACATTTCAAGCCTCCAAGCAGCAGGTAATCCTCAAGCAGTCAAGTCCCCACCACCCACGTGAGAGACTTGGATCGTGTTCCCTCTCCCAACCCTGGCCTCAACTGTCCCAGGCATTCGGGGAATGAACCACAGGATGGGAGCTTTCTCTTTTTCTGTCTCTCAAATAAATAAATATTAAATTAATTAATTAAATAATTTTTAAAAATCACCTTGCCCCAGGTCTTGGAGTAAAGGAAACATTTTTAATGGTAGTTTCAGGTAACTAAATGGTCTACATTTAGGTAACTGAATGGTCTACAAGCATACTCTTACAAAAACAGCTGCTGCGATATCACTACTTACAAAGTAGCCTCTACACAAGTGTACTTTGCTTTGACCAAAATGAATTCCGAAAACTAAACTCTACATCCCCACAGTTAACTCTAAAGTTTTAAAGTTTTAATGAATTCCAGAGGGTGGGGATTGCTTCTTGTGCGTACTTTCTTGTAGATCTGTATTCCAAGGACTTTTCCTTATCTCCACCTCCACAGTTAAACATTCCTCAGTGAGAAATCCTTTTAAAAAGACAGTGTTGGCATCCCTTATAGATGCTAGTTCAAGTCCCGTCTGCTCCACTTCCGATCCAGCTCTCTGGATCTACTGGGAAAGCAGTAGAAGATGGGCCAAGTCTTTGGGCCCCTGCACCCACGTGGCAGACTCAGAAGCAGCTTTGGCTCCCAGCTTCAGATCGGCCCAGCTAAGCCATTGCAACCATTTGGAGAGTGAGCCAGCAGATGGAAGACCTCTCTCACTGTGTAACTCTGACTTGCAAATAAAAAAATAAATCTTTAAAAAAAAATAAGGACATTACTCACCAATTTTGTTTTATTCATCAGAAATGTCAGTACACTCAAAGAGGATGACTTATAAATATTACTGTGGAAAACAAATCTTAAAAATGCAAAATAGCACTTTAGGAAACAAAATTAATTTGGTCAGAAATAGTTTGAAAGAGAATTCTACTTCTGAAAATCTTACTATGAATATATTAGCCATAGCAGCTTCCTCAAAGGAAATTATCAGGGACCAGCACTGCGGCTCACCGGGTTAAGTCTCCGCCTGCAGTGTCAGTATCCCATACTGGTGCCAGTTCAAGTCCCGGCTGCTCCTCTTCTGATCCAGCTCTCTGCTATGACCTGGGAAAGCAGTGGAGGATGGCCCAAGTCCTCGGGCCCCTGCACCAGCATGGGAAACCCAGAAGAGGCTCCTGGCTCAGCTCCAGCTGTTGCAGCCATCTGGGGAGTGAACTAGTGGATGGAAGACCTCTCTGTCTCTCCCTGTCTGTAACTCTACCTCTCAAATAAATAAATAAAATTTAAAAAAAAGAAATTATCAACTATGAATATCATGTAACTTTTGTACAAAAAAGATCACATTTAAGGAAAATGCTTCCACTAAATAATACAGATTACATACAATTTACTGGAAAACAACCAGGAGATTTTTATTATTTTTCAAGGAAGAAATTTGCTTTTAAGTACCTGTGGGGAACTGCTACCAAGTAAGAAATGTCACTTCTAATAAAGTATTTTGCATAGCAAACACAGCCCCAGACTGAAGTTTTGTCACAAAAGGGTCCTGTGAAAGACCCTTGGGAAAGAACTTCTCTGGTCTGACTTTAACTTCTAAAATAAGATGGTTAAATACAAGTAACTCTTTGGTTCCATTACCTTAATTCAACACCTTGAGGTACTTACATCCAAAAGCATTTTCAGGTATGTAACCACTCTAATGTGCTTGATTAATGAGGGAACTAACACCTAACGGGAAACCTGATACTGTATCTGTGCATATCAGCTCCTTATCAGTGGACTTTGCTTCTTTGCAAAGCAAATCCTCTGGACATCTACGTTTTCCCAGACTGAGTTTTCCTGAAGTGAGACAGGTACCTGTGGCCCACAAGCTGACGAGAAGAGCCCTTCCCAACCCACGGCCCTCGGCCCTCGCAGTCAGAGGGAAAACACCTGGAGCCAACCCCTGAAACAATGGTGTTGCAGCAATTACATCTCAAAAACCACACTCTCCTAATGAATTCCCAAAAAACATTCACCTCAGATTATGGTTTTCCGCAGGGGCCAACTTTCTTGGGTTTGCTCTCATTTGCTTGAGCAAATATTTTCCATTTTAACTAACATTAAGTTTTAAAATGTTCCCGTTCCAATGGAATATACCAAGTCCCACCACCCACCCAAAAAAAATCCCCCAACAATATCTAACAGGAAGCCACACAAGCCGTTTGTCAATTTCAGGGAGGGGGCGTCATATGTCGGGGATGCACAGACATCTTGACCAAAATAAATAAACTTTCCGGGACCTTTATTTACCAACTTGGGAAAGGCAGGCTCGGAAACAACCAGTTAAGTTCGCTCCCAAGTTGGCATCTTAGAAAACGGTCGTGCGTTTACGAAACACGCGGGAGCCCAGAGTCTGCCAGCCCAGAATTGGCCAGGGGAGCACACGCCCATCGGCCCTGCCTGGAGAGGAAACAATGGGAGAGGCGCAAGGGAGCGAGCCCGGCGCTCCAGGCGCCCCAACTCCGCCGCCCCAGCCCGCGCCCGCCCCCCGCCCCGAGCCCCGGGGCGCGGCCCACCTGCGGCGGCGCGGGGAGGGGGCTGCACTTACCAAACAGGGTCAGGGCCATTGTAAAGGCGCTCGCCGCCGCCCGCCAATCCACGCGCTGCTCCCAGGCGGGCCGGAGATCACCGCATCGACCCGACGCACTCACACCTCGCACCGAGTGCGGTGCCTGAGGGGCGTGGCGGCGGAGCCGGCGCCCGGAGAGGCTGCAGGCCGGGACGCAGGGAGCCGCTGCAAGAAAAAGTTATTCACGCGTTATTGTCGCGCGCACCTGGGCCAGGGCAGCCCCGCTCGCCCTCGGCGAGCCGGCACTTGTCGCTGCCATCTGCCGACTACGCGGGAGCGTGCGCGCGGGCGGCGGTACCTGCGAGGCGGGGAGGCTTGGCCGCGGCGCAATGGCAGGCAGGGAGGCGGCGCCGCGCTGGCGGCGGCGGCGGCGGTGGCGGCGGCGTGGGGGAGCGCAGCAGCCTCGCAGAGCCCCCGGCGGGGCGCGCTCACTCCGCATCCCGCGGCCTCGCCGACGCCATCTTGCGATAGCGTCTCCCACGAGCGCGGCCGCTACGCCTCCTCCCGCCTCCCCCTCAGGGCGGCCGGGCCTGGTGCGTTCCCATGGCAACGGGCGCGCGCAGGGGCGCGGGGGCGCGCCCTCCTTCCCCCGGCGGCGCGGAACCTCCTGCGACCCGCTTTGGGCGGCCACCGGGAGCCGGCCTGGGGCGGGGCGATGTGTTTCAGCTGCAACCCCAGGCTCTCTATTGAATGGGATTTGCGGGGGCGTAGAGAGGAGAAAAACGGAGCTGTTACTCGAGAGCGGAAGAGCCGCAGAAGGATGCTGGGTGGATGCGAGCTCCCGGCGGGGTCGTGCGGGGACCGGGTTCGTCTGAGGATAAATTCCTGCTGCTGGCGCCTTCGGGGTTAACGGGCGAGCCGGGGACCTGAAGCTGCGGGACCCCGGGCGGAACAGAGGCACAGAACGGTGCCGTCTTTTGCTTTTGGACTCGGAGCCTCTGGGAGTAGTTCCCTTCAGATTGCCCTGTGTGAGGAAACAGGAGTCGCTCATAAAGCATCTGGGATTCCCTACACCCTCATTTTCTCTCCTTGCCATTGAACCTGTTTGAGCCTCCCTCAGGAAAACCCAGCGCTACTCACTGACGGGCGCTTCCCCTTTGCCAACAAAAGCTCGTTCCCCCTGAGCTTTTTGTGTGTGTCTGAGAATTGCTGGCCACGTCTGTCTGTCCGCACGGTTCCCCCCTCCACCCTGCCTCACCCTCAGTTAGCCAGGAGTCGTGTGACGTCAGCCCAAAAGGTGTTCTTGAAAAGCGTGGTTTTCGCTTACTGTCTTCAGAAAGTCAGGATTCTCCAGTTGCCGTGAAGAAATCCCTCCTCTGTTCTTTCTCTGCTCAGGGCACTGATACTATTTTGGGGTCTGAAATATGTAGGTTTTTCTCTTTGGTTGTCATTTCTGCCTACATCCATCTTTCATCTTTTAGTTCTCAGGTTCCCTGGTTGTATCATTTTCAACTAATTCTTTTAAGGGTATTGTACGAATATCTTCTCTTTGATGTACTTTAGGGATCAGATTATTAGAAAAAATGAGAATTCAGGCGGAACCACGGTTAATTCATCATCATTTCCCAGCAGACTCAAGCATCAGAAGAGAAGCCGGCTGGGAAGGAGGAGCCAAGCCTTTTGTTTCAAATCAGTTAACTCTAAAAGGAAGACACGTGAAAGTAATTCAATACAATGGGCAAATACTCAAGATGCGATATGCTTGCAAATTCCCCATATAAAATGGCTTTCCTTCAGCCACTCATCAGAACAAATCCTGAAATCCCCAGAATTTTTAATTTCTCATGAAAAAGGACTCTTGAACAGCCTTTTTGCCCATGAAAAAAATCACACACACACACACACACACACACACACAGTTCGTAAAGGTAATTAAAGAATCCCAGGCAGCCTTTGTGGACAGATTTTATAACCGTGTGGAGATTGCTGCTGATCTGCTCAGCAAATAACCCCAAAGTAAAGACTCCATGTATTGTTTCAATCAGTGGGCTTCAACCTTTCGGGGGGGGCCCTGCCTGCCCTTGAGACTCTAATGAAAACAGTAGCCCTCCTCCTAGAGAAGTGTATGTCTGTACACACACTTACCAGAAATGTTTCCCACAATTTCATAGGAAACCTGTCATAATTACAAAAGATACCCAAGACGGCTATTATAACCTCAGAAAGCTTTTGCTTTTATCATTTTTTTAAAATTCCCTTTCACGTAGAACCTTGGAATTTTCAAGCGGAAGGGACCAAATTCCCTCAAGGTACACATTTAAAGCAAAGGGCCCAGTGGTTAAAAGATTTCCTATTCAGTGGTGGATCCAGTAGGGCAATCTCAGGCTTCTGGTGTTCTCCCAGGCCACCTCCCCCACCCTCCATCTCCCACCAATTTAAAGCTTGCATGGTTTGAATTTAAAGAGAAAAATCTGTTTGGTATTAGAAGCACAGTATTTTGTCCTCAAGCCATTTTGTATGTTTAGGTCGTCTTAGCGTTTAGCAAGTTGCATTTGTCCCCAAAAGTCTTTATTCACATGCTCTTCTGCGGGAAACTATGTGTCCCATCAGGCTGAGAGCAAACGTGTTTTTCTCCTGTTTTTGTGAAGCTCTGTTTGAGAGGTATCAGAGCATCAGGGCTTCCTTGCTACAATTCAGCAGGCTGCTCATTTTTTCTGTCCGATGGGGCCATGTCCTGGGAGTGAGTCAGAGGGAATTAGTGCCCCTGAGCTCAGGCTCACTCTCCCATTGTACAGTGAGGCTTTGGTTTCCGGAGCAGCTTTCCATTCCCTCGATGTGGCCACACTGAGCTGATCCTAGTGACAAACCTGGCTTAGAGTCAGTTGGGGACCTTTCTCCCTTCCCTTCTTTTCCACACAGGTCCTAGGTACTCCCTAACCCAAAGGACACACACAGCCATGCTTAGGGAAGGAAGTATTTGGAACTTAGCAGTGTGAATGTTGCCATGTTTTCCTTTAAAACATCTACCTGTCCACAGGTGATTCCTTTTGATGGACTTACAAGTAGTCAGATGCTCCAACAAAATGACGTCTAGACGAAAAGAGTATTGTCTTGACAATAGTATTGGTTTTTAGAATATTGCATTATCCTACAGAATAGTGCTTCTGTACTCAGCTGGAAATAAAGCAATAACCTTCCAGCTACAGATTCAATGGAAGGAAGGGCGGTAACTACTTGGAGGTGATTATTATGGGTGGTGACTTCGGTTGTTTATAGAAAAAAGGGCAAAGCATGAATTCACTTTCCAAAGCATTCATTTTCATTGAGAGCTTTAATTTTGTGCTTCATACACAAGGGCTTTGAAGAGCCGGATTTGTTTGCTCTGTTACTAATTAGTTGTTCAGTTTTTAAACAAACCTGTCTCTCTTTCTGGGTCTTGTCTTCCTCATTTGGCAAATGAAAGGTTATCTCTAAAGTCCTTTTTAGGTTTACCTGTCATTCTGTGGTATTTTTAAATCATTACATTAGCTGTACTGTGGATAAAAGGGAAGACATTTTTGTTTTCATCTTAAATATATTTCAAATGCTATTGTATTTGAAGTTTGTAAATACCCAATGTAATAAACAAGTCATATCTTTTTTTTTTTTTTTTTTTTTTTTGACAGGCAGAGTGGACAGTGGGAGAGAGAGACAGAGAGAAAGGTCTTCCTTTGCCGTTGGTTCACCCTCCAATGGCCGCCGCGGCCGGTGCGCTGCGGCTGGTGCACAGCGCTGATCCGATGGCAGGAGCCAGGAGCCAGGTGCTTTTCCTGGTCTCCCATGGGGTGCAGGGCCCAAGCACCTGGGCCATCCTCCACTGCACTCCCTGGCCACAGCAGAGGGCTGGCCTGGAAGAGGGGCAACCGGGACAGAATCCGGCGCCCTGACGGGGACTAGAACCCGGTGTGCCGGCGCCGCTAGGCGGAGGATTAGCCTAGTGAGCCGCGGCGCCGGCAATAAACAAGTCATATCTTATTAAAGCTACTTCATCTGCAGCATATTATACTAACAGTATCATACGTATGTATTATATAGAGAACAACCTTTTTCAGGTTTAATGGAGTTGAAATTAAAAGTATGCAGCGAATAGTTCAAATTTACTAAAACATTTTCTCATTTTTATTTGAGTTTTGTTAACTAAACAGAACTTAGACAACCCTTTAAAATTGTTTTTCTACAGTTTAATGACTTACCACAGTGTTTTGGATTTCCTTTTTGTTGCTCATTTAGCTTCATTCCCATTGGTAAACATTGATTTGTTCCTCAGTTTTGAATGAAGCAGAAATTAATGAGGCGGCTTCTTGCCTCACAATAACAAGTTAAAATTATGGCACTTTATCATGTCAACACAGCTTTAAACACTAGCAATACCAGTGCTATTAGCACAATTCCCAAAATAGTACAGAAGTTTGCTGTTGAAGAAAAAATTACACAGTATATTTTTGCTAATGTTATAGAATCATTCTATTCCTCCTTTTCACAGATTTAGAAAGTTAACATCCTTAATTTATTCACTATATGTGACATTCTTTTATCCCATATTTATCAGTGCAAGTATGTTTTTCTTGTGTGAATTTGTGTAAAGTGAATTCAGTCTGTTTTTAACAATGTTTTCTTTCAACATTTAGTCCAGATGAGCTTTTTTTCTCCCTTCCTGTATCTCAGACTGTCTGAATTAATGCCTAGAGATACTTGGAAGGCATTTTATGCTTTATAAGTAGCACTTTTACAGGACAAAGCCACATGCGTGCAAGTAACTAAAACAACATTTGCCTTGAACCTTACGTTTTTAGACCATAACATTTTTTAGGAAAAACAATTATGTCATAAACTATAAAATTAGCCTTTAAGCATAAATAACTCAAGTTATTGTGTAGGAGAATTGTGTTTTATTGACCACCAGAGAATACCTAAATTATATCGATAGAAGTAACACTAGGCCTTAAAACTCACTTTGAAAAATATAAAAGATACCTGAAGTATTGACCCTCATATCCACCAGTTCTGTATCTGTGGATTCGATCAATGGCAGCTCAAAAATATTCAAGAAAAAAATTGCATTTGTAGTGAATACATACAGACACTTTTGTCATTATTCCCTAAACAATTCAACATAACAACTATTTACATAGTATTTTTGTTATATTAGACATTCTATAATTTAGAGATGATTATTTATCCATCACTTTGCACTTGTTTTTTTCATGTCTTGTAAAAAATTTGTTAAATGACATACAGAAATGTGCATATTGATGGGGTACTATGTAATATTTCATTGGAAGCACACAAGGTACATTTATCAGGATAAATATATTCTTTCAAACACTTAACATTTCTTTATAGTGAAAATATCCAAAATTCTATTTTTTTTAAATAGAGAAATATATAGGGCACAGACATTTTCTATAGTTACCCTACTGTGCAATAAACCCCAGAACTACTTAGTCCTAGCTAGCTATAAACTAGTACACATCAGTAAACATTTCCCAATCCCTCCCTCCCCATTTCACC